ATCCTTCAGCGCCCAATTCCCACTCGGAAGGCAGGTTGGCGCATTGCATGGCCGGTGTCTGAGAACTGGGGTTACCTCTCCGCGCGGCCCGCTGCCAAGTCTCCAAGGAAGGTGAGGATTGGGAAAGGAAGATCACCCCAATTCACTCCCCCCTTTCCCTGGCGTAGCTCATCTCTTGCCATAGTAGAAATCCCTCTTGAAGGAACACAACACCAGGAGGGAGTGGTAAACAGCCCCGATGGTCAACTCATCAGTGTTTAAACTTGCATTTAAGGTTTGACAAGAGAGACAGCCATGAAGAGGCCAAGAGAATGACTTGAGGCTCTGATGAATAAGCCCAGCTGTGGCTGGAGGTGATTATTTTGTACTGGGGAGAGTAGGTGCTACTCTAGTGCAAGAGTGAGGCTCTCCTTGGGTGATGCACAGCATGCACATTATATAGTTAGAGAAGGCCCTTGCCTTGAAGAGCTGCCAGTCAACATGCACAGGGCAGCCGGATGATGGGAAAGGCAGGGAGAGAAGTGAATTGTCCGGTGTCACTCAGCTGGGCGGTGGCAGAACCAGGGAACGAGTGACCGTGGGTTTCTGCAGCATTCACCTATAGCGGCACGTTTCTAATTGGATTTACTCAGACCCATTTCGATACCGGATTTTTTTTTTTTCTATGCAATTTACAGTCAGGTGACGTTAGGACAGGAGAAAAAGGTCGATAAATCATCATTCCTGCCTTTCTGCCGAGGAAAATAATGCGAGGAAAGGGAGCTTTTGTTGTGTGTCTCTGAAGTTTGAGAGGCGTATTGTGAGCAAACAAAGGCTCGGTGATGGAGTGCTGTGACAGGAACAAGGAAAAAAAAAAGAAAAAAGACAAGAAATTAAAAATAAAAACCACCCCACAGGCTGGAGGAGGATTGCAGAAAGGCTGTGCTGTGGAATAGCTGGGCTGTTTTGTAGGCTCAAAGCAAGAGCTTCACTCAGAGCAGGGTATAACACGGGCCTGGTATTGTAGGTGCCTTTTTCTGGACCTCTTCTGCAGGGTTGCGCTGCTTGGGACGCGGTGTCCAAAGGTGGCACCGTCATTCTCCCACTGTTTGCTGTACAGCGAGTTTGGTTGCTTTTGCTTTTATCCACTTGCATTTTCTTCTGCCTTCTCTCCTTGACTGATTCTCTGGCTGCGTCTGACCATTTGGACTAGTTCCAGCTGCATTTTAACCTGAGCTGGAGCGAGCCAACCTGCCGTCGAGTACCAGGGCAGGATTGACGACCGCGGGCTGCCTGCCCGCGACGCGCCATGTAAGGCAGCTTTAGAGACGCTGCTGCTTTGTGCCCGTGAGTCATCCCGCAGCCACCACATTCCTCCTGTTGCACGCTGCTTTGACGAGCTCAGGCGGCCTCTTTGGAAGATGTTTGCTAAATAATTCAGAAAGGCAACTGGATCAGACACCCATCTGGCCTAGTCGCCAGGTGACCTGGGCAGCAATTACCTGCGATTGCAACCCCACCGGCCATGGCAATCCAGAGAAGGAACGGCGTAACGTGACGCCGCGCAGATTGACAGCTAATCCATACGCCGCGGGGATGGACAAATAAAAAGATGCCCCTTGCGAAGCAGAAATGACGGGCTCAGCCGCTCAGCGGGAGGGAGGCATTTGTACAAATTACTGATCGTTTCAGAGTTAATTTTTTTCTGTCTTAAAAAATCAAAGCAATGACAAAAAAGGAAGGCCGCGTTCTCCTGCAGAGGTTTCTTATGTGGTCGAATTTGCGCCTGGGACTCTGAGTTTTGACGGGTATAGACAGACAAATTATACTGAACTAAAGAAGGGGAGGGATTTACTGCAGGTCTGCTCTTCCTTGATAACTTGTCCATGAGCCTATTCCCATCCCGTGGTAGGTGGGAAGTCACCTCATTCATGACACAGGAGTAAGCTGCTCCAGGCTAAATTCCACTTATCCCAGGATAGGAGGAGACTTTCCATGGAGCAAGTGATCTGTGGTAAGTCCCCTCTCCCTTTTACCTTGGTATAATTTGTCTGTTCAGACCCTTAAATCTACCCTCTGAGGTTTGAGGTCTTTTCTTATTTCAAAATACTCTTTTTGTCTCCAAGATCTCTTAGCAAAATAGTCGCACGGAGCAAGGATTTCATCTCTGAGCTCTGCCAGCATCCTTCTCCGTCTCTCTGAAAGTCCTCCAGGTGACCTTTGTGAAATGTGCTGCACCGGTTCGGTCCACACCTCGCTGCTTAATGAAACACCCATTCCCGCTGCTCGATGCGCAGGATGGGCCACAGGAAATACTGCCTGCTGCCTGGAGCTGCTTGAATGTCCAGCGCCTTTTTGCAGGCAGCTAATGGGAAAGTGGCTGTTGCAAACCATTGAGAAGCATTTCAGGATGGCAACTTACACTGTCTTTTACTTTTGCAAGACAGTTTTGCAACTCAGACTTGACCTATCTCATCTGTTTGGGGTTTTTTTGTCCCGGAATAACCCACTGATGGCATTTTGAGGCTGCTCAAGCTCCGAGGTCAGGGATGCAGTTCCAGGGTGAAAGGTTTCCTATTCTCAGCTAACCTCTCTGTTGGCTGCATGGCTTTAAGCATGTTTTCTATCCATCCATTACATGAGGTCATGACCTGCACCTTCTTTGTGCCATTGTGTGTCAGCCAATAGCTAAAATTGCCAAATTCTGCATGGAAACTCTTATGCTAGTGTTGCTGGGATAATAACATAAATAGGTGAGCTAAACAGGCCGCGGGAGTTGTGCTTGATGCAGAACAGGCTCTCTCCGAGAGCTCGATTTTCATCCTCCGGTTCTTAGCCTGCACGACTGCTGTTGCAGGAGCGTGTGTGTTTTAATTTTGGAATTGCAGGCCGGGGGGTTGGTTGTCTTCCAGTTCTCTGGGCAAAATGGGAGCTGAGAGCAATACGTAGACATTGCCCACAAAAAGAAAAAAAAAGCTTAGGTAATCATTCTGCACATGCTGCAAACCGATGCTGCCAGTGGGATCACTCTACCCGCTCGCTTGCACATGGAGATACGGGCGAGTCCCATGCGTGCAAAGTTGTCACAGAGTCGGTAGCACACAGAGAGGTGGAGTGAGCTATATCAGGGCAAGGCTGTGCATTTGGGCTGTGATCCTGCCTTGGACCTACTGCTACTCAAAGGCTGCTTCTCTGGGGGCGCGTCTACATGAGACGCTTACTGCGCATTAGCCTAACAATACTGCACGGTAGAGCGTCACAGCACACACTGTGCTAATAGTCCACTGCGCAGTGTTATTAGGATAATGCGCAGCAAGCGTCACTAAATAACCGTGCACCGGCTCTACTGCACAGTAACTCTAGGTACTGCGCGTTTAGTTAGTACTTTATTAAGAGAGCACTAAACTAAATGTGCAGTATCTAAGGCGCATTAATGAACGTGTAGATGCACCCTGGCTGTAGTAAATACTGAGCTCGGGACTAAGTGTTTGTGTTTAGCGGCCTTGGCTACTTTATCTATCTAAATTACATACTTTGTCTTATCTGTTAAGGAAAATTGGTGCTTACCAGGAGCTCTCATGTTGAATGGCATTTATTCTTTGTCTGATCCAAAGCCCATATTTACCCATATGCAATGTGGTTTTAACAGTATATTTCCAAGGAAAATGGTTACGGTAAACACACGTAATTTGTTTCTGCTTTACATAATCGTTTTGTAAACAGACTTCTTTTTGCTTGTGCCCAGTTGAGTTTTGTCTCATTTCCTTTGCATTTTAATGAGCATGTTCTGGGTTAAAGATAAAATATGTCATTTTGGAGGCTTGGCAAGTGGATCGCTCTTCAGGGCTTATGGCAAAGGCTGGGGTTTGATGCATGTTAACCCTTCGGGGCTGAGTTTCCAGCCTGCCCGCACAGTGAGGAAAAGCGGCAGCAGACAACATGTGACTGTTCATGGGAAGTGGAAGGAGGGGAAGAGTTTCTCCAGCAAAGTCTGTGGATTGTGAAATTTGAGAAGGGCAGTGCGAACCCACCCACGTCCCCATTGCGCGCTCGGGAAAAGCAACCGACACTGCTGTTCCTCTATGGAAAGAACAAGAAACAAAGGGGTTCAGTTCCCTGGTCTGGGCTGTGGCTGCGGGAGTCGCACCTTGAAGCCACCTTTGTATCGCTCCCCCCCCACACAAGGACCCGTGCAGCCGTGGGGCGGGTTGGAGCGGCTGGGTGGCTGCATGTGTTCGTGGACTCCAGGCCTGTAGCATGAATTTAACATCCAGGGCTGTGCCTTTTGTAGCCCGGACGTCAGTGGCAATTGTACATTTAAACTTCCCTGCATAAATATTTATGTCAGCATAAAGTGCAACCCAAAGAAAGGCTTACAGCTTCACCATACACACCCTGGAGGGGGAATCGGGTTAGATGTGTTGAAGGCAGGGGCGCCGTCATGATGTTTCCCAGTTGAGGATCTGGGTCTTGCTATCCTGAGTAAAAATCTGCATAATAAAACCTAATTTATCATGTAATAAAATCCATAAGTTCGGCATTCAGAAGTCCAGAAAGACTCTCAGCTCTATTTTCAGTGGCCCCCTGTGATTTGTGAACTGACTTGCTATGGCCAGCCCGAGAGCTTAAATATCCCGAGTCTGGCCTCAAAAATCATGAGGTTGGGCTCCGAAATAGGAAGAATTTGCAAGAATAATAAACGTTGGGGGTTTTTTGCCTTTCGGTGTTTTGAGCTGGTGCTTTTCTGCTTGAGCCTGCAAAAATGAAGGCTTCATCTCAAATTAGATCTGAGAATCCAATGCCATCACATGACTCCCGGAGCTAAGGTTGAATGAAGAACATCAAGTGTCATGAGATGCATGACGGCGGTTCCTCTTCTGCTATAAGGAAAGGGGGAGATGTGAGCAAGGATGCTCCGATTTCCCACAGGCTCTGCTAATAATGGATCTCGGCTTCAGAGCATTGACTTAAAATAGGCATAAAAAGTGAAAATCCCCACACTCCGGAGACCAGATAAGAAAAGGGTATGAAAATATATGCCAAGCAAAATGTTACCTTGATAACAGCATGTGTGTCCCAGAGTACTTAGCCCTGCTTGTGCAAATGTGCTGTATCTAAGATCAGTGGGGAATAACAGCAAATGAGTGCAAAAAAAAAAAAATAATAATAATAATAATTAGACGGGCTTTGAGGGTGAGAAGCTAAGTGCTAAGTTGCTGTGAGCTTGTAAAGGAAGCGGTGAGTTCAGTCTGCGAGCAAGCTGACTTGGCCAGTGAGAACGAAGGTCGTAATTCTGGAAGGATAATTAGTGTCTTCGCACGTTCGGTTTGGGTGGCTGGGGACACTGCCAGTGATGTGCAATGCACACATGGGAGACAGCTAAAAGGATTTTCTTTTCATTCTGTAAGCAGCCGGTGGGGATTATCAATCGGGAACAGCGGCCAGATTTGCATGTAAATAAATGACTGACACTGGCCAGTGACAATTTGAACTGTCCAGCTGCAATGACTTTGACTTGCTGACATCATTGCTTCATTAGCATGCAGGAGATGAGAGCACTGCAACAGCAACGATTCTGGCTCCGCTACCAAGCCGGCAATTATTCTCGATGGGCTGCACATTTTCCTTGTTAATGTCTTGAGCCCGGAGAGCAAATTGGCCGGACTCCTGCCACCTCTCGGGGTCATGTAGCCAAGCTGGGGGTCCGCTGGATTCATCTGGATTGCGGGGAAGGTGGAGGGGGGAGGAAAGGAGATGAAAAACCACACGCGGCTGGAACGGTGAGCTGAGCTGCAGAGCTGCTCCAGACACAGGGCAGAAATCTCTCTGCTGATGGTTTCCACCGCAGATTTTCTTCTGAGCAACACCGTTGTGTGCGTGTGCGTGTGCGTCTTCGAGAAGGCTTTGACAAAAAGCGTCCTGCTCCTTTCAAGAGAAGCACCTACCGGCGTCTGTCACAGTTTGGAGAAAACACAAGATGCTTTATAGCACTGCAGTGGCTTGGCTTTGCCTGGGAGCAGCCCACCAGAGGAAAGTAAACTGTACAAACTAACACAGCAGAAGAATCTGCCGGATTGCTGCTTTTTTCCATGCTGGCATCGGCGCCGGGAGGAATAGGTAAGGAGCCGTCTTTTACCAGCAACTTAGAAGTTTATCGTGTATTTTTAGCAAGGAGGGAAGGTCCAAGGGATGGCAGTCCTCTATGTGCACATAGGGCTAAATTCTGCCATGGCTGATCTTTAGAGAAATGATTATTATAATTTTTTTTTTTTTTTTTTTTACCTTGCTATTCTTGTTCATGAAATAGGTTGATTGTTAAAGGGTGTTGTACAGCTGCAGAAAGTCGAAGATAAATGCTTAAGCTATGTTTCATTTTGGAAAGCTTAGCTGGTTTTTAAATGGGGGAGCCCTGGTCTTTCTCGGTGCTGATTTACTCCTCTGGTCAAATTTAGCTGCAGGAAGTCTGGGACCAGGGGGTCTCTTCAAGCTGGCCGCATCCAGTCTGGATTTCTAGATGGTGATGTTGCAGTCGGGGGGATGTGTTGTATAATTTTATTTAGAAATTCTGCTGATCGTTCGAAAGCCTTTTTGCTTGCCCGGGGTATCTGTGCAGTCAAAGCCAGAGGTTGTTTTCCACTGTAATTTTCTCTCCGTCACTTTTTCTGTATATTCCTTTAAGGCGGGTTTTAAGCAGCCATATGTGACACGGTGCTGACCTGTGACCATGTAAAGATTTTAATCCAGTTACTCTTTGTTTTGTAGTCATGATTCCTTGGCTACGCTAAAGACTGATTGAACCTTTATGAACCACCGAGGATTAGCGCTGGGCAGAATAATGCCGGAATAATTATTCACACCAGATGCAATGTCATCCTTTTAGTTGTAACCCTGTTACCTTGTAACTTGTCCTGTTCCTCCGGTGGTGATTTTCCCGGCTGTGAGCACTTAGATGTCTGGCACCAGCACGTTTTGTTTGCAAGGGCAGTGACTTGAATCGGGGCAAAGGTTTACCGAGTAAACTGTTTGCAGTTAACGGGATTATATTCTGCTCCGTCTTTAAAGCCTTGCCTGCAATGTGGTATTGGACTTAACCAAATGAAACGGCAGAGCCTGCTTGCTCCAGGCTGTGTCTGACAGCATTGGCCGGCATACACAAAACCCGCTCTGCTCCTGATTGCTTTTGCAAATGGGTCACTCTTGCCAGTCCCAGAGGATGCTAAACCTCAACTTTGAAATAATGACAATATTTAAATGCTCGAGGTGGAACGCTGCCCGTACTATGTCGACGTGTTTTGCCTAAGGATCAGATTTTGTTTCTCCTTTCCTTGGAGAGGCAAGGCCCAGGATGGACAAAACTGCGGCGTGTTTACTGCCTGCTTGCCACAAATCTGTCCTGCAAAAAAAAAAAAAAACCACCCCAAAAATCAGCCCCATGGGAAAGCAACAGGGAAATAGCTTTCATTTGAAACAGAGCCACTGAAGTTTATCATCCCAAAAATAAAATCTGAAAGGGAGACGGTGATGAGACAAAAGGGGGAAGGTTCAAATAACGGGCGTTCGTGGAGAGAGCAGCGTTATGCAAACTTAAAAAATACGGGAGCGTGCCAGGATGGATGCGTTTTTCCTGCCTGGTTC